TGGTGTCACTTTTGCCGTTCTAGAGTTATATGCCCCTCTACAAATGGAAAAAAATGCTGAATATTTCGTTTCCATTCTCTTACTTAAGTTTGCCTTAACCAAATCTTATGAAACTTATACACAATGCTAATTATCACAAAACACAGATCAAGTTCGAATTTTGGTGGCGTCACTTTTGCTGTTCTAGAGTTATGCCCTCTACAAAAGGAAAAATTGCTGAATTTTTCGTTTCCGTTCTCATACTTTAGTTTGCCTCAACCAAATGTTATGAAACGTATACACAATGCTTATTACCACAAAACTCAGATCAAGTACAAATTTGGGTAGCGTCACTTTTACAGTTCTTGAGTTATATCCCTTTATAACATTATATGCAAGCGGGGGCATCATCTGTGTCCCACGGACACATTCCCTATTTATTTTAGTTATTGCCCTTGTACCTTGGATAGATAAGATATGTGCAACGCGGAGGACATCGGAACTCTGTTTTTTATTTACTTTAAATCAATATCCGTATTCAACCGACATGCGATTGCAAAAACAGGATTTTTAAATTGCGTACTGGACATGAGCTATACTGAATTGGCACTGTTATTCCTGCTTTCCTCTGTCTGTCACACAATCGTTTAAAGACAACAAATCAACAACTTCATTATATTTTGGCTAATTTACAAAAGGACAAGTTATGAAATGAAAAAGTGAGATTTGTTTGAACAAACTAATTGAAGTATAAAGTTGAAGTTTCAAATTGTTTCTACTCTTAAAAGTTAGATTGAAGTTTGTTGCCTTGGGTATAAATAAATAGAGATCAATCATATCTTGAATATGATAGCCAAAGACCAAACCATACAAACCAGTGTAATTGGTTTTCCAGAACGGTTTTAGTACGGGATTAACAAATAAGAATATAGCTTAGGGTTTCTAACTATTTTCAAACTTGCTACAAAAACAAATAATCACGATTCATTTCTTTAAACTTCTTCAGAACAAAGACTGTTTTGACATTTACATGTCGACTTTAGTCAGGAAGCTACCTCTAATTTTCAAAACAGCATCTCTGAATTGAACATACAGTGGTTGCCTCCTATTTAGCATGTTGTAATGTTATCTATCGGAAGAGAGAGAGGGATGGGAGAGATGATTTCTTTAACAAGAGAATTATGCCCAATTTTGAACAGAAGTTTCATTAAGAATCCATGTCAGTTTTTCTACATCTGTTTTTATAAATATGAGGTAAACCATGTATATGATATAACAATTATTTAATCTTATATACCAAAAAGCCATTTAGGTTCACGATTGCATTTCTTTTTTTAAAGAAAGCAACTTGTTTTATAATTTCTTTTGTCATGAAGACGAGAGGAAGAGCCGGTTAAGAACACATAAAACAGACCGAACGTTGTTTATTATCTTTATTGAAAGAATTGAAGTAATATTATATGAGACAAATATATTTCATTGAATTTAACAAGAGACATATATTTCTCTGATTAAACACTGTGACATATGTCGATCATAGCTCTCCATCCTTTTTTCGGGGGTTTCATGTTTTTCCGATAGTGTTTGAATCAGTAATTTCAGATTTCGGATACCAGCTGCATACCGTTTTTGCGATCTAAAAATTGGCAAATGTAAGTAGCCTAAATCCACTCTACTGCTGCCAAGAAAGAATGGTTACTCCTCAAACTGACTTTATGAATAAGGAAGAGAATTTTTTTTTCTTCAAAATTCGCCTTGGTCAAAGTTAAAAAAAATTATCAGTATTTGGCCATAGTTCCATATGTACAAGTTCAGACAACAGTGTCAGTGGACCTGTTAGGTTTTTTGCATAGAAAGGAAGAAAAAATATCAAACTACACAGACACATCAATTTGGGTAGATGAAATCAAGGCTAGGTATTCCAAACTGGCGACAAAATATAGAAGCTGGCTATTTTTCTGGCTCCAAATTTTTGGGAGCCAGAGCAGCCCCGGCCTGTACACGTACATAAATAAAGCTTAAAGTTTTGAATTCTTGAGTGAATAAGCTTCATTATACTTCACCTTTATTGCTAAAAAGTGTTGTTAAAGTGAATGAAGTGATAACAATTTCTGAAAAATTTGCATACTGCCATAGGTCCACTTAAAATCCCAAATTATTCCTTAAATAGGTATGGTAACGCATAGAGAGGTATATAATATAAAGTTTAACCATTTTTAGTTGTTATGTTATTTTATGTACCCCAAATTTATCAGACATGAAATTGTGTCAGCTTATTCATGACGAAGTGGTGATCAATGAGTGATAACTCCGTACACACAACGTAGGAAAAGCAAGTTCAGTAAAACTGTAAATTTAAGTAAAAGTAATGATTGTTTCTTGGATAGGGGTGTGTCATATACCAAAGTCATGTCACTCTGACCTTGAATTTGACATTTGACCTCTATTAATCATGTTAAAGTATATCCTTGTCCAATTCATGGCCATCTCATATTTATCTACCAAAGGCATGTCAATCTGACCTTGACTTTGACCCAATTTGCGTCTTGCGCATAACTTTTGTATTGTATATATACAAAATTTACGTCGATCAAACGCATCGTTCTCCCCAGGCTAATATAATATTGGAGGGTGGTCAGTCCTATCAGCCGTAGCGCTGTCCTATATTTCTGGTCCATGGTGCTTTAATTTTCGTCAAAAAATAGTATATCGGTAAAATTTTACCCGACTTGTTATATCTTTTCCGTGTAGTTTAAAATTCAAGGTGAAATTTAACCAACATCTTGATTGTAATTGATTTACCTGATGAGGTAGGTATGATGAGTCAAAGTTGTAAGCTTGTAACTAGTACATTAAACCATTTATTCAGTGTGCTGGTCATGAACAAAGCAAGGAGCATAATCACGAAAATAATATTAGCCTTCTATATAATATTTTGTGTAAAAAATGCATCCTAAGATTGAAGCTTTCCATAAAACTCACTAAACCATCTTTTCATAAATTCCCAATATAGATGAATTTGCTTTCTTCAATTATTCAATGGAGACGTTGATACTTTAAAAAGGATACATATTTTAAAGTAACGTAAAACCTGGTATCAACTTTTAAAAACAAATGGTATAGTGGTTGAGAAAAGTGTGTAGGATAGTGGAAAACAGAACAGTACAAAATGTGTTGATACTTGCATGGGATATTTTATACGACCGCAAAACATTTACATTTTCGGCCGTAAAATGGTCCGAAGACATTTGGTTTCAAGACAATAACTTGAGTACTTGAAATTGTAGAACAAAATTCCATACCACTAAAGGAAGGTTGGGATTGATTTTGGGGGTTGTGGCCCTAACCGTTTAGGAATTGTGGGCCAAAAACAAGCATTTTATAGAACTTTGTACAAATGACTTATTTCTTGATCAATTTCAATGGGGTTCTTTGATATGCTGAATCTTACCGTGTTTTTGATTTTTTTTTGTATTTTTGTCCCACATTCAAATTGTTCCACATAATTAAACTTTGCTTTATTTCAACAAAAATTGAATTCTTGGTGTCCTTTGATATGCTAATTCTAACCGTTCTTTTAAATTTTCGATTTAGGCTCCCCGTTTTCAAATTGGTCTACATCAAGGTCCAAAGGTTCCAAAATTAAACTTTCTTTTCTTTCAACTAAAGTTGAATTCTTTGTGTTTTTTGAAATGCTGAATCTAACCGTATATTCAGATTTTCGATTTTGGGCCCCATTTTCAAGTTGGTTCAAATGGTTGTCAAAAGGATAAAAAATAAAACTTTTGTTTGATTTCAACAAAAAAATAATCTTGGGTATGCTGAATCTAAGCGTGTATTTAAATTTTGGATATTGGACCAGAATAGGTAAAAGTCAAATTTTCATTTTTTTCAGTTCTTTGACCACATTCAGTCTGTTTCACAAACCTATGCTGTGTCAAATATTTAATCACAATCCAAACTCAGAGCTGTCAACACTTGAATGTAGTGTCCAAAATTGCCCCAACTGTTCAGGGTTCTACCTCTGCGGTAGTATCAAGCTGTTTCCCGCGAAGCATTTTATTATAAAAAAATTGAAAACACCACGTTTAATAATTTCATGCGTCCGAAGCGCTTTTCTGGATTTACCTTCATCAGGAACGCTCAAAGCCAAGCATTTGAAATCCGAGGGATGTTTAAGTACCGAAACAGTTGAAGAGCTATATGACAAAAATACCTAAAACAAATAGCCAAATCCATCTAAGGTCAATTTTGCCTGAGGGAGTTGAAAACTTAGTTTCTTTATAATTTCAAAATTTATAAACGGGCAATTTTAGAAAAGTTTGTTATAAATCATGTCAGTACCGAAGTACTGACTACTGAGCTGATGATACCCTCGGGGACTGATAGTCCACCAGCAGAGGTATCGACCCAGTGATGTAAAAAATTGAAAACAACACGTTTAATAATTTCATGCGTCCGAAGCGCTTTTCTGGATTTACCTTCATCAGGAACGCTCAAAGCCAAACATTTGAAATCCGAGGGATGTTTAAGTACCGAAACAGTTGAAGAGCTATATGACAAAAATACCTAAAACAAATAGCCAAATCCATCTAAGGTCAACTTTGCCTGAGGGAGTTGAAACCTTAGTTTCTTTATAATTTCAAAATTTATAAACGGGCAATTTTAGAAAAGTTTGTTATAAATCATGTCAGTACCGAAGTACTGACTACTGAGCTGATGATACCCTCTGGGACTGATAGTCCACCAGCAGAGGTATAAGCTGTGATAAATAACTAAACCAACTCTTTCACAATTTTCATCATTACTTTTGCCTTGGTTTTCAATTAACTGCCTTCAGCACTCGCAGTGCTTTGATTTTATCTTTCTTAGCATTCTTTGCAATATATTTTAATGTTAAGAAAATTCTCATAGAATAGCTTTTCATGGGAGAATTAGCTTCCTTTTCTCACTGTTATTTGTTATAAATTTCAGGATTTTTGAATGGTTATACTAATTCATCTATTCAAATTTAACATTAGATGACGTGTTCAGTGATATAAACTGGGGTTCAGAAACAGTCTTCAGGGAACAGTCAGAAAGAGCGAAAGATCTAGGAATTTCATTAGGCATATTAGAAAAATGTTTAAATGATGTGGTAAGTAGTTTAATAAAAATTGTAATATGCAGACTTAAAGACCATATTAATTATGTTCTTTAAAGCTAAAAACGGAACTGTGAAAGACGCACATATTTAATTGATGCTGTATTCGAGCGTCAAGAACGATTTTAAATCTGAGACAATATACAATGAAATAAAAATAGCTCATTTGTTACTGGTTTTAACCTTAAAGTCAGAACCATTTAGTGAAGAAATAGCCTTTCACAAACCTTAAATATCCGCAAGGTTTCGTGTGCATTCTAATGTGTCTTCTTAAACAAACATTTTCAAGACTCGCACTGCAACGTTGTTGTCCTCAAACTGGCATGTTTCCGTGGATTATGTTTTTAAATGAGTGGAAAATTGTAGAAAAGAAAAACTGCTAATCTTGATTTATTGTTTTGCTGAATTACTACAGGACGTCGCAGAAGACCTGGGGGTTCTCGAAAAGGAGTTACAAGTAACCAAAGAACAACTTGCTCATCCAAAAATCAGTATTATCATACCTGTATACAATGAAGCAGATACTATTTTATTAACACTGGAGACAGTCTTAAAGGTATGATGTGTATATAAATATTTGGGGTTTCCAAGTATATTGAAGGGACTTCATGATGACAATTTTGAAAAGCTGTGTGGCTGATAATTCTGTTAACTATGGAGCTGCTTTTCAATTATATGACTTTTAAATGAATTTACAGAAAACAATCAAGCTGCAAATTCGACATCGGTTTATTGGTTTTAAATTTGACACATACTACATGTAGTGTATGATTACATAAGCTAAAGACGAGGATAGTCTGGTAATCACATTCAGAACTAACAACTCATCACTTTATCTCTAGTAGTACAACCCGTTTCAAAATTGATTTAATCATTGAATGTCATGATTGCATTAATTAAGTGCATGTAATATTACTGAGTCTTATTAAAGTGTTAATTTTCGAAATGAACAGATGTGTTTCCTATAATGGGAATTTTCTCTTTTGAAAATGAAATGTTATTTGTAAATGATATGTAGTTATTTAGTCATTCAGAATGGACTCTGTCTTCCTATTTTCGTCATACTTTTTTTTATAGTAATTGATTGAGCAGTTGCAAGTCATTTTTATTTGAATTATCTATTTTAAACCAAATATGCTTACATTTAAAAGAAGTTGTACTTTCGCATTTTCACAATTTGAAACTGCACTGAAAATTAATTGCAACCTTTAACACACACTTTCAAATTGCGTTGCTGTAAAAGATTGTTATTTTTATTATACTTTTTAAATTAAGAAATGCACCAGGAAGAAGGCCATAGAAGAAATTATTGTTAGTGATGGTGGAAGTACAGATGATACAATTTCTATTGTTGAGAATTTCGCTAAAACAATAGATGTAGCAATAAAAGTGGTGCAAAGTTCTCCAGGTTTAATACATTATACTTGACCTTGATATTAACTATTTATTTGATTTTTTGGATACACTGTGAATATCAAAATGAAATGAAATAAATAATAATAACTGCAAAGCCATTGCAATCAAGTTTTTTTTGTATGCTTTCCTTCTTTTTATACAAAAATGCAATTTATCCTTGTATTTTTACGTTTCCTAAAAACACTTTGGACGCATGAAATTTATAATGTGTTGATTTAATTTTTTTTATAAGAAATGATTTTTACTGTAAAGTAGATTGGACTTAAGGCACACTCATCCCAGATGTTTTTAATTTTGCTTTCAAGGAAGAGGATTTCAGCAAAGGTATGGTGCGGAACAAGCAAAGGGAGATATATTTATGTTTCTTCATGCTGACACTGAAGCACCAGATAAGTTCGACCATGCAATAGTCAAATGCCTGCAGAAACCTGGAAATGTAGGAGGGTGTTTCAGATTGGGCTTTGATGTGGTAGAAGCCCCTGAAAGGTATACATGTTAGGAAAATATAAACAATTATAACAAGTTTTCGAGATAGAAATTTGAGCATTTTTATTATGAGATACTACCCCAGATTTTTTTTATTTTGCTTTCAAGTAAGAGTATTTCAGCAAAGGTATGATATAAGGAACATATGTGATAGATTACAATGCGTGTTAAGAAAATTTCTCGATGGTTTAAGTATATTTGCAAGTAAATACTTGAATTAACGTCTGTTGATTTGCTCTTATCAATTGGTATTAAAAAAAACATTTTTTTATTTTTAAAAATATAATATTTATGAAAATTTGTTCAAAGTTTAAAGAATACATTGACACTAGCACTAAACGAATGCGTCAGTCTAAGCCATCTACTATTAAACAAAAGTAGATTCAGACTATATATCAATGAGGACCCAATAACACAATGAGTCTTGCACAAGTTCTAAATGAATTCAGCAACGTCTACTGAAATAACTTCATCGTCAAAAACACATTTTAAGAGACAACTCGACAGCCACTATCTAAGTTCCCGACTATAGACAGGTGTTTATAAACAGTGGTAGAGTTAAGTAGTTTTGTTAGTATTCAAGATTTTTCTTACCACCTCAGGCTTTAAATTCACAAATTAAATTAAGTTCTGTAAAAAACCGCTTTATAATAAAATAAATAATTGGTAATACAGACAACAGAAAAACAATTTTAACATAGCATATACAACAATACTCACAGCTATTAAAGGCTACCACACTGTACTAAATCTGCTTAAAAGAAATCTTGATTTTTTGCTTATATCAACTGCTGTAGTTTCAAGTAGATTGCATACAGTTACCCAATGAAAAGTAGTAAGTGGAAATTGATTTAGTTCTTTTTTAAGACCTAAAAATGCACGTTCATGGTGTAGTAATTTTTCAGTGCTTTTGTATAAAACTAAGTAGATGTGATATGATTGCCAATGAGACAACTATGCACCAGAGTTCAATTGACATGGAAATAAGCATTTATAGGTCTACGTATGGCCTACAACAATGAGAAAATCCATACTGTATAGTCGGCTATAAAAATCCCTGACATGAGAAAATTAATGGCATAATCTATAACCATACAATTTACGAAAAATAAAATATGACAGAAATGAACCAGCGGCAACCACTGAATTACAGGCTCCTGGCTTGTGCCAGGCACATAAAGCATGTGCCTATCATCTTTAATGATAGGCATCTGGCATTGTCAATATATAAGCCAACATAAGAAATACCAATTTCTAATTGTAAGGTGAATCTATTAAATCAAAGGCGATGATGACACATGATCAGGTGGAAGAGATATATAAGAGTGGTACTGATACATTTAAGGATGTACACCTCTGAGGAGCTAAAAATTTCTAGAATTAAACTTTTTTTTTCTTAACCTGATTTTTGGGTTTATACGACTAAGAAAGTATATGAAGAAAAAAATCATATGGTGGTGCACTTCTTTTTTTTTTGCGACGGCCATTTGAAAGTACCCAATTTTAAATGATTTCCCCATTTTTCATAAATTTTTACTCATTTTTGGGGTATTATCATGAAAAAAATAACAGTTTCACAATTAAACTTTTTTTTCATATTTTCATTTTTTTTTGCTACGGCCATTTGAAAGTACCCAATTTTTAATGATTTTCCCATTTTTCATCAATTTTTACTCATTTTTGGGGTATTATCATGAAAAAAATCACAGTTTCACAATTAAACTTGTTTTCATATTTTCACTAAAGATAAAGTGGACCAATCTGAATACAAACTTTAAAAAACTATAGGTTGGTGTTAATATCAGAAAGTTTTATAAAATTTTGTAGCTTTTTCGTATCAAATTGACCATGCTGTCAACTTGGTAAATTTGGTATTTATCTCCTTTTTTTTTAGAACAAAAAGCATATTATTTCAACTTCTTTGTTATAAATGATTGAAAAATTACATATCTAAAAATTTTGAAAAGAAAAAAATTATATGGGATGTACTTATTTTTGTAAAATCATTTCTTTGTACCCCTCACCTATTTTCTCAACATTTTGGCTGATGACACTAACCGGATTGGTTATGAAATTTGAAATTTTATTACTCAAAAACTACATATTGTAAGTACACAGTTTTTTCACAGAGTTTAGTTTGATTATAATATTTTAAAAATTCATTGATATTTTCCACTTGTATCATATGTTTTGGAAAAAATTCACGAACGAGATTTCAACGAAACTAAAACATCAGAAGAATACATCCTAAAGGACAAATGAGCTCTATTCGTTAATTAAGGCTATGTCGTTTACTGTTTATGTATTAATAAAATCTTTTTGTATGTAGTATCATATATATTAGGAAAAATATATTTGAATACTCATTTCAAACCTTTTTTGTATTTGCACAGGGAAAAAGATTGCAGTCAAATTTTTAAAATGAAAATGCATTTTTTACAATGGACTACAAATAACATAAGAGTGAAATATCTAGGTAAGATATATTTTAACTCTTTGGCTCCTAGAAAGTTGGAGGTTCCGAATTCACAATTTCAATACGATGTAAATAATAGAAATGTGAATGAATATACACAAGTAAAAAGATGCCACATTATAAAAGAATATTCAGTATAAGTAAATAGTAAAACTATGGCATCAAGATGGAACGTAGAAAATAACTTAGTTTAGTGCAAATCACTGACAATTTAAGTGAATGTGTACAACTATACAACATTTTGTAGAAACAATATACCCTTATTATACACCCGAAACAATTTTGAGAGGATTTATAGGAACCACCCTGTTCGTATAATAGGATGCATTAAGCAAATAGAATGATTTTAGTAGATTTCCACTTAACATATTCGACATTAGTTTTTTATTTTGACCCCTTCATCTTGATGAAATCCTACGGTAAGATGACATAATCTATATGCATACGATGTTGGGGCCGTTAGAGTATTGGTTTGATTTGTTTCACATCTTGTCATGTCATAATAGAACAAAAAAATATGGGGTATCCATCCATGACACAAAATCAGTACATGCACAGCAAAAAGCAAAGGAACAGCGCTTTTATTGCTGTTCTTCATGGCCTTATAAGGCTGACTATACTTTATGATTTTTGCTCATTGTTTAAGGCCACACGATGACATATTGTTGCTTAAATCCGCTTCATTTGAACTATGAGATAGTTGTCTCATTTGCACTTATACCATATCTCCTTATTTTATTAGACGTTCTCGAATTTGACAAAAGAACTGAAAACAACAAACTATCATTCGTTGAAAATTATAATCAACCGGTTTGGAAATGTTTAAATCAGTTGCTAAGAATGATATAATTATTATTATTACTATTGACTGGTATTACAAAAAAAGCAATTATTGGAACCGTCTGAATTACCTCTCTTTCACCAGATTTATTTTGTTGCATTCTTAGCGCCTTTTAAAATAATATTAATAAACAACGATGAGAGCCAAATGTTTTTGAAGCCAAACCGTATTCCCTTAAGGTAAATTTTACCTGAGATGTTGCAAATTTAAAAAATAAAAAATACAAAATGTAAAACAAATTATATCAGTCCAGAGCACTGATGATTATTGAATAGCATGAAGATTTGATTGATAGAACTTAAGATTGTTGTATGGAGATAATCTGGAAACCCAAGTATAGACAGAAGATAATTAAAGCTTATATTTATGTAAGTATGGTAAGATAGTTTAAACTTGCCAAAGATGTAGAACAAGGCTACCGGTATTCAACATTATTGAACTCTCACATTTACATAGGACGTCCATATGGTGATCAAATCTTGTTTATGACAAAGGAGAATTATTACAAAGCTGGTGGTTTTAAAGAAGTTTATCTGATGGAGGATTATATGATGGTAAGATAATTGTAAAAATAGTTACAGAAGTTTTCTTATTCTGGGAAGAACGTTAATAGGAAAAATATGCAGATACTGAGTTAAATGCAAGTATGCTTTTCTGTAAGGGTTTAGAAAGTAAGAGAGGAAAAATCTTATTTATACTGCATCTTGAACACTTTTTGTTGTCTTTGTATCGTAAATGTAGTTATGAATTAATATTTTGTACAATATCATTTTTATGTCACATCACTTTTCTCCACTTTTTTGTAGTATTATCATTTTATTAGCTTTTATGATATCCATCATGAGCTGCAGTATTAAAACTATAGTAGATCAATATTAGAAAAAAAAAAAGGTTTGTTTCAACATGAATTGTTGAAAGACTCGGTAAAAACCTCACCCTTTTCCAGCTTCTTAGTCTCAACCAAAAGATTTTGATATTTTCTGACATTGAATGATTATTGTATATATAACTTGAAAAGCTACTGTATAGTGTTACAAATCATCAATATTGATGTACACATGCTAAAAAATGACAAAAATATACACATTTAGAACTTGAACCTCCCCTGTTTGATCTCAATCATTAGAATAACTATAGATATATAAAGAGATTAATTAAATAACAGGTTAGAAATAGCAAGTTACTCTATAATAAAGTTATAACAGACAACTAAAGCATGGGTACAAGTAAAGCAAATAGAAATAATACAATACGCAAGAATCCGGCTTGCTGTTATTGAGAGAGGGCTCAAAATATTTAAACTGTTTATATAAATCACGATGTTTATCACTCCAACATTTTCGGCTGTACTTCGGCGTATACATGTAATACTTATAGGTTTCATAACGAGTGAGAATTGGATTTCGCTTGATATCAACTCGAGTTATTGATAATAAGCGATATCAAATTCTCACAAGTTATTAAGCCTATTTCTCTTATGGTAAACCGACTTATTGTGTTAGATTAAAAATTCCGCGAATCGCTGATCTAGTCTTTTGCACATACCAGTATGTCGTCATATGTCCTGTTGCGGCGTCAAACTTTAACATCAGATATTTAAAAAGTTTTCTACGCTTCAGAATGTAATAAAATTTGACCAAAAGCAGATTTCCGGGTGAAAAGTGTGAGTGTTTTGTATATTATTGAAGTATTGCATATGTCTGTTGCCATGAACGATGAACGAAATGTACATCGGTTTAACCTTTGAAAGTCATCGATGACCTAACGAATAGCCAATGGAAATGTCGTTATTTCGTTATTTTATCTCTTCATGCAAGAAGTAAATAATAGACAACATCTATAAGAGATAGTAACTTAATATGCATGGCAAAAAACATTATTTTATGATTTTATGAAAAAAAATATAATCGAGGATACCAGGCTCTTGATATTATACACCAGACGCGCGTTTCGTCTACAAAAGATTCATCAGTGACGCTAGAAACAAAAGAGTCGAAATGCAAAATAAAGTAAGCAGTTGAAACGCATTGAGATACCAACATTCCGAAAGGTTTTGTCAAATACAGCCAAGTGTGATTCAGTTGGAGTTATTCTTGGAAAAAAAGTGGTATTCCATATTTCTAATTTCCATATTATTTTGAAAGTTTATGTATTTATCGGTGGTTCCTCTTTTTTCATTAGGTTGAAAACCTAAATATATTTGGGCACATAGGTATTGCTGATGCTGATCCTGTTATCACATCTTCACGACGTTGGAAAAAAATGGGACTGATAAGGGTAAATATTCTAATTTATGATATAATGACCATGACGAAAATAACAAATATTCTAAACTATGCTATATAAATAAAATCAATTATTGTAACAATTGAACGTGAATATCAAGAGAGCAGTTGAGTGCACTGCAGTCGCCAGATGACGTATGTGACGATGGAACTATGAACTATTTGTCACATCTTAATAGCTAGTGGGGGTGGGGGTGGGGGGTGGGGGGAACGTGCAATTTCAAAGGAAGGAAATGCATTGCCTGATTGATAAAACATCAACGGTGCAAATTTTACTGCACCATAAGCGCATTTCTACAATTAATGACTCAGTGATACACGAGTCCAAAATATTTAAAAATCCAAAACATAAAACAAACGTTGAAGAGCCGATACAACCAAAAATAAGGTCATACCTGGACAAGGAATCAGAACTAAATAAAGGCAACAGTAGTATACCGCTGTTCGAAACTCATAAATCGATAGAGATAAAAACAAATCCGGGTTACAAACTAAAACTGAGGAAAACGCATCAAATATAAGAGGAGAACAACGACACAACAAAAACACAACATTAAAAATGTAACACACACAGAAACGTACTATAATATAACAATGGCCATTTTCCTGACTTGGTACAGGACATTTTAAGAAAAAAATGGTGGGTTGAACCTGGTTTTGTGGCATGCCAAACCTCCCGCTTTAATGGCAACGTCAAACACAACACCAAAACGACAACATCACATGACAGGACCACAATACAAATAAATGGGAGAACATATAGGACAAAGAAACACACGAATAATAGCTAACAAAAGGTACTAGGCTTAAAATTCAATACGCCAGACGTGCGTCTCGTCCACACAAGACCATCCAGTGACACTCAGATGAAAAAAGCTTGAAAGCCAAAACAAGTACAAAGCCGAAGAGCACCGAGGCCTGGAGGAGACAATTCTTTACTTTGATTTCCAAAATGTTAAAACAGCAAATAAAACAATATTTGTCTTTTCATGACAGAACGAAGTAGTGGCTACTGAGCTAGTTATACCTTTTAACAGTCCCCAGCAGAGGTATCGACCCCCAGTTCATAATTGATTTCGTACAGATGAAATTCGATATGTTACAAAATGTGTACGAATGTTGGTATTTTGCATGTCTTATTTGTCCTTTCTGTTGTATTGAGCAAATCCAATTTGAAAATTCATTTTTTATTCGTCTATTTGAGAATTGTTCTCGTCACCAAAAAAAATAAGCCATCCTTATCGATAAATTAAATAAGCCTATGTACAAATGATTTGCTGACAGCAGGTCATATCTATGAATAATTTCAACAATCATGTCCTAAAGTAATGAGTAAAATTTAAAACTCACAGTCTTTTGTTGCTATATGTTGCCCTTTCGCGTGTCTTGGTTATTGTATTTTTGAGTTCAGTCACATATAAGTAAACAGCACACTTCGTTTTATTGATATATATAATCAGTATAAACACTTCAGATGTAATGCGCACGTTTTGATGTATTACAGACTACTGGAATGACCAACTTGATAGTTCTTGCATACAAGCTTGGTGTTCCGTCTAACAAATTAGCTGAATGGTATTATGGAGATAAATTGAAAGAGATACAGAAAAGGGCAAAGCAAACTTGACACATTATTCAGAAACTAACAGTAAATCCGGTTGTGTGTTATAACTCTGTATATTTCAGAAATGATGCTTTTATAAATCACAAGTGATTAAGTGAATTGATGCATGCTTTTATTAAAAAATCATGAATTATAAAGAAGCTAATGTTTACTGACATTCTGCTTTACCTTTTTCGGAAATTGTTTTCTTACGGCAATAATATTCCTGATATTGCATGTCTAGAAAATATCCACAAACTTGCCCATCTTTGAAAAGTATTGCTTATATATTTATTTTGAGATCATTCAAGATTGTGAAGACTCCTTAAGTTTTGTACTTTCTTTCAATGTTTATATTTTTCAAAAGTGCTTTAGTCACACTCCTTTTACATTTAGTATTTATCATCTCAATATTCATATGAATTTAAAATTAAGGATATCATACTATAAATAGGCAAGCAGGTTTTCTGCATATTAAGACATAATTATTATACCCCTCGAAAAACAAAGTGGGCGGGGGGTATATAGAAGTCTGTCTGTCTGTCTTTCTGTCCTTCCGTCCGTCCGACTTCGTGTCCGGTGCATAAGTTTTGTACCATTGAATATTATCAATCTTGGTATACAGATGCATCATGGGCTGGGGGTGTGTTATATACTAAATTTAGGTCACTTTGACCTTTGACTCCTTTTAAAGCAACTCCTCGTCCAATTCATAACCTTTATACCGTGAAACTTAGGTTAATCAAACTTAGGATATAGATGCATCATGGGCTGGGGTGCGTCATATACAAAAATCAGGTAATTCTGACCTTGACTTCAATTTTTGACTCCTATGATAGTAAAACATTGTCTGATTTGTGTTCGGTGCATAACTTTTGAAACAGTAGAACTTAGGTTGACCGAAGTTGGTATGCTGTTGCATCATGATCTTGGACCGTGTCATATACCATAGTCAGACTTTGACCCCTATGATAGTAAAACATTGTCGGATTTGTGTACGGTGTATAACTTCTGTACAGTAGCACTTAGATTGTATTCAGAACCATTTTAGGATCTGGATGTGTCAAATATCAAAATCAGGTTACTCTGATCTTTACCTTAACCCTAGAAATCCTTAAACTGAAAGCTAAAAATCCCAAAATGAAATCTCAAAATGTCATTCTCTCAATACTGAATTTTACAGCAGCAACTAAAATGCATATACGGGGTATAAGTCTTGCTATGTGGACAGCTCTAGTTGAAATTGACGCCTGTTAGTGACTGGGTAAACTTGAGATATGACAAACACTGATTTCAGGTTTCCAGTTGTCCGCTTCTCATTCTGAAACGATAATTTGCTTTTTCCCAATCCTATGACATTTACGTATCTCAGTTGACTAGATTTTACTAACAGCGATAAACACTTAGTTAAAAACACACCCGATCGCGCACCGTTTAGGGTTCACGCGATTCCCTCAGATTTTGTTCTCTTGGTTGGTATATTCAAAGCGGCTTTACAAAGCTAAATTATTGAAAAAATACTATCTGTTTTTTTCTAATATGTTTTATTAAAGAATTGTAAAGATTCAAAAGTGAGAATCAATTGATTGGATGGAATTTGTCAATTTACACGTATCAGGTTTTGAAAATCCAGATCATCTTTCTTTATACGAAAAAAAAATCAATATTTCAATCTGTTTCAAGTTTCTTTTTTTTGAGCCACGAATTTTCAAACCCTCTGGAAAAGTTCGTGTCCAGGTTTTCTAGTGTTACATAAAACCTTATGTTTAAAGGATTGCAACAGGATTCACATTTGAAAATAAAATGTTTGTTCATCAAGATTAGTTAAACATGCACTGAATCAATATTATAAATACCAAAAATAACGATATGCAACTATGCATGGCAGGGCACAGGAAACGCACTTTCTGGAAATTATTCAAAACAATCGGTCGTGAGAACTGTTATAGGCGCCTCGTTTAGAGAAGTGTCGGTATATTTAGATCATTGTTTTGGTTCATTTGTTCGTCCGTTCGTCTGTTTTTTCATTAGCACTTTGCACCCTCAAATCTTTATACCAGTGATTTGATTTTAATGAAATTATCATCGAAAATATTCAGTTCGTAATTATATGTTCACTTCCAGTTTTTTTATGATTTTTGTTGTTTCCCACAGCAATTTTGTTTCCACAACTACGAAAAGGTTTTACATCATGTTTCCGTTAATCCTAATATTTTGAATAGATTTCATCGAAACCTTCACAGAATATGAATAACCTAATGCCATAGGGTATATACTTTTGTTTTATTGTTCCAACGTTCTTTGGAGGTGTAATACCACCAAATCATAGTACGCCACATCCTGTTTCATACGAAAGATAGGAACAAAATATTCCCTTGAATTTGACAGTTGTAGGAAGTTAACCCTGCATTTCATTGCAGCAACAAATTCCTGAGTCATAAACATATATCTTGGGTGTTTCAGAGCACCATTCTTTTCTTATTTGGTGTTTCTATAAAATATTTTGGAAACTTAAGGTTACATGGTTACTAAAGCTTGAAAACAGGAAAAAAAAGGGGTGAACATTTGATTGTTTAACTTCCAGTGATGGTTATTATCATATTTGCAGTGAAATGTGATGTGAAATTTTGTCTGTAGTACTGGACAGGATAAAACTTTATCATGCCAAGGCTTTTTCATTATTTAAAACAAAGATAAATTCTGCATAATTATTTGAAAAGTGCCAATTTAACAAAGACTAATTGGGAAAAACGATCAATGGTGGTATTACTCGGGTGAACTTTCCCTGTTTACTTTGTTGATTTCATCGAAAGTTTCACAGAGTTATTCAAATAATACAATATTGTACATCCGGAATAATTTCTAATACTTTTTGAGGATTTCCGTTGTCATTTTTACAAATGGAATACAAATCTTGTATCCACACCTCTTCAATCATGCACCTGATTTTAATGACACTTTTACCGAAACTTCAGTATCATATACGTACCTGCTTCTTTATGTTTTTGATGTGAATGATATTTGTTTATTTTCAAAAAATGAAAAACGACCAAAACACAAACACAAGTCTTCAAAACACTACATAGAAAACTAAAGACTGAACAACACGAACCCAACAAAAAACCGGGGGGGATTTCAGATACTTTAGAAGGGTAAGCAGATTCTGCTCGATATGTGACACCTCATGTAAGTAAACATTGAATGGTAAGTCTAGTTCTGTGATGTCACATTTGAGGAAAAGAGGACGGGATTTTGACTACGACAACTGGAATTCTGTCGTCATATGTGAAACAAATATTCCATAACGAACAAACAACTCGTGATGGCGTTCATAAAATATTCGAAAAGATGACTTCAACTTTTTTACTTGGAACCCGTGGCTAATAAGCTTCATTGTAAGCAGCAACCCTTTATCAAGGAAAACATGATAGGAAATGCAATCTGTGGAATATCATATCAACTGAGAGATGGTAGCTAGGGGACGTGTATCATGAGTTTTGCTCACAGTTTATATAGTTTTGTTTGAATTGGATTTATGTAGGCAAATATAATCGATTAGTTAATGCATATGAACTGGTATAAATGAATCCTGCAACTAATTTGGATGTTCAGTATTCATACATGTACGTATATATAGATTATCGTTGATCATCTCAACGAGATTGATTTTCTCGCTTGAGCCGGTACGGCGAAAGAGAGAAAAACAATCGAGTTGAGATGACCAATGATAATCTGTTTTTCGCTATTTTACCTATGACGACGTTGTCAATTTCATGTCAATTTCATTGACAACGCCACGTGCCCCCTTAGTTTCTAGCGATAATTGTCGAGCTTTCGACTTTAGTCGAAAAAGTGAGACATAGCGATCCTACATTCCGTCGGCGTCGTCGTCGTCGTCGTCGTTGTCGTCGGCGGCGTCCACAAATATTCACTCTGTGGTTAAAGTTTTTGAAATTTTAATAACTTTCTTAAACTATCCTGGATTTCTACCAAACTTGGACAGAAGCTTAATTGTTTATGATCATAAGATAGTATCCAGAAGTAAATTTTGTAAAAATAAAATTCCATTTTTTCCGTATTTTACTTATAAATGGACTTAGTTTTTCTGCCGGTAAATATTACATTCACTCTGTGGTTAAAGTTTTTAAAATTTTAATAACTTTCTTAAACTATCCTGGGTTTGTACCAAACTTGGACAGAAGCTTGTTTATGATCATAAGATAGTATCTAGAAGTAAATTTTGTATAAAAATAAATCCATTTTTTCCTTATTTTACTTTTAAATGGACTTAGATTTTCTGCCAGGAAACAACAGATTCACTTTGTGGTTAAAGTTTTTAAAATTTTAATAACTTTCTTATACTATTTTGGATTTGTACCAAACTTGGACAGAAGCTTGTTTATGATCAAAAGCTAGTATCTAGAAGGAAATTTTGTAAAAAAAGAAATCCATTTTTTCCGTATTTTACTTTTAAATGGACTTAGATTTTCTTCCAGGAAACAACATATTCACTCTGTGGTTAAAGTTTTTAAAATTTTAATAACTTTCTTATACTATTTTGGATTTGTACCAAACTTGGACAGAAGCTTGTTTATGATCAAATGCTAGTATCTAGAAGGAAATTTTGTTTTCTTCCAGTTAACATTACATTCAGTCTGCAGTTAAAGTTTTTAAACATTTATTAGATTCATAAACTATCCTGGAATTTTACCAAACTTGGACAGAAGCTTCTTACAATCAAAAGATAGTATCAAGAGGAATATTTTTATTGATTTACTTCCTCATTTTTGTTGAGCCTGCGATTAACAGAAAAAGTAGGCGAGACACTGGGTTCCGCGGAACCCTTACGATTTTTTTTTTCATATCACTCGACTCCGTTGAGAAAGGAAATTATCAGTCAGCAAGATCAAAGGAAAATTTCGTAAAATAGCGATAAAGTTGATTAAATCATTTTGCTTTCAATTTAACTCCTTTTATTAATTGAAGCATGCGTTTGTAAGTGATGAAAGTGGCTCTTTGCAGTTCCGAAGTGCAATTTCTCTGCTGCTTAAAACAAAAACTGAAACACACCGAAACAAATAAATGAGCACACTAAGTGTCAATGGCGGTAGGTCAATGTTTTTTTTATGCTTTTGAACAATTCAAAACTTTTAGCATTACATTAAATAAAGAGTAGATGTAATGTATCTATCT